GAATGTCCTTACTCGTGTAGGGTTTTGAGGGCTAGCATTTTTCAATATCAGGGTGTTTAGGGGCTATAGGGTTCCTTTGGGGTCTTTAGGCCCGCTCGGTTTATTTGGTTTGAAGTATTATGTTTAATGCTTTGTTGGTGCTATAGTTTGTTAGGGCCTCAGGGCTCCACGGTGTTTGATGGCCTCAGGATTTCAAGGCTTTCGCTCTTTCGGGCCTTCGGGTTTTAGGAGCGCTGGAGTAACCGCATGTAAGCGCTGAGGGGTTCTCCAAAATCATCCCCTTACAGTCCTTATGCTATGCGATTATATTTCCCTAAACCCTAAACCCAAAATACCACTGCTACTACATTGGCCAGCCTTACAGAGCTTAGGGAGTCGGAACGCCATGTGTGTGGCGGCTGAGGCTTCATAGCGGCTTAAGCCTTTCTTCGGGGTTTTTAGTGTTTTTGGTACATTCCAGGCACTGGAGAGATCCACGGCCATGAGCCATGCGTACCTGGATCGAACAGCCGAGACGCATGATGCGTGTGGTGGGGGTTTAGGGTTTAGGGTTTAGGGTTTAGGGTTTAGGGTTTAGGGTTTAGGGTTTAGGGTTTAGGGTTTAGGGTTTAGGGTTTAGGGTTTAGGGTTTAGGGTTTAGGGTTTAGGGTTTAGGACAACCTACCTGAACATGTCGTGACGGGCACGACTACGCATTGACAGATCTGATTGAAGCCGATCGCCTGGAATGTAGGGCTGTAAGGGTTCAGGGATGAGGGGATTAAGGGGTTCGCGTTGTAGGGATTGGGGGTTTAGAGTTTCGGGTCTGGGCGGTTTAGGCATCCGTGTTGAGTCGCTCCCTCCCCCCCCCGCCGCCCAACCAACCCACCCAAATCCTTCAGGCCAAACCCAGATCCCCTGAATTCCCTAAACCCTAAACCCTAAACCCTAAACCCTAAACCCTAAACCCTAAACCCTAAACCCTAAACCCCCGAGGCCCAGAGCCCTAAACCATGAAACCCTAAACCCCTACCACCTTGACGCCCTAAAACCCTCAGCCCCTAAACCCCAAACTCCAAACCTTAAACCCTGAACCCTAATCCCCAAAACCCTAAACCCTAAACCCTAAACCCTAAACCCTAAACCCTAAACCCTAAACCCTAAACCCTAAACCCTAAACCCTAAACCCTGAACCCTAATCCCCAAAACCACTATAGTAGAAGCCAAAAAGTTGGAAACTCAATAGCCTCAATCCCTAAGAGTAAAGTACAGGGAATCTGCAGAATCCTAGCACTATTTGGCCTGAAACAGGTTTCCAACTTTTTGGGGTTTACTGTACCCCAATGGCCAGGATCATGGACCACCCGGAGTTGGGGGCCCCCTGGGCCTTGTTATGAGAGTCGAGGGATTCAAGCTGGTGCCACGAGAGGGACTCGGTTCTTGAAAGCAAGGGCTTAGGGCTTCGGGCTTAGGGTTTAGGGCTTCGGGCCCGAAACCCTGAACCCGGAACCCTAAACCAAATCCTGAACCCTAAACGCTAAACCCGAAACCCGAAACCCGAAACCCTGAACCCTGAGCCCAACACCCCTACATCCTCAACCCTTCCGTGCGTAGAAAGCCCCGGAATCCCTAAGCCCTAAATCCTGAAGCCCTGAGGCCCTTAAACCCTAATGCCCGCCTTAAAGGAAGCAATGGGAAGTCCCTCGCCCAAGACCCTTGAGTAAGGAACATACCCTAAACCACATGGGTTATTTAGGGGTTAGGGTTTGTTTTTGGTCTACGTATTCCAGCTTTGGGCAATTCAACGTGTTGACGCGCTGGCGCTGGAGTCCGTTCTGACGGACCCCTATGCCATAGTAGTTCGGGTTTAGGGTTTAGGGTTTAGGGTTTAGGGTCTAGGGTCTAGGGTTTAGGGGTTAGCAGTGTTCAGGGTTTAGGGTTTTTGGCCTGGAGTTCGTGCAAGTCGAAAGAACCTCCCTGAATCGTCGTTTTAGGGTTAGGGTTTTGGGTGGAGATGCGCCTGGGACCTCAACCCTAAACACAATAACTAACTAAACCCTAAGCAATAGAATAGCCTGTTAAAATCTCAGCCCTGACCCCTACACTTCGCCTAAACCTAACGACTGCAGTACACTAAACCGTGAACCACCCCCAACCTTTACATTGCAGTCTGGCCTGTAGTATAGCTGTGCAGGACATCGACTTTTTAGGCGAGTGGAGAAGGCAGCCACAGGGTTTACACCTTAGGGTTTAGGGTTTAGGGTTTAGGGTTTAGGGTTTAGGGTTTACAAGCTGAGTTTCCAGCCGGGGTGGTCGCTCCCCAACCGCGTGACTTTCTCGGTGGCCCAGACCAAACTAGGGTTTAGGGTTTAGGGTTTAGGGTTTAGGGTTTAGGGTTTAGGGTTTAGGGTGCAACTTTCCATGGGCGAAGCAGGATCAGCTGAATCGCGAGAGGAGCACCTCGCTGTTGCGGGAAAACGTATGGTGCCGCAACACAGAGTCTATGGCCCCTACTTGCCGGACAATCTGAAGCGGGGCTCAGCGAAACCCGAAACCCCAACCCAAAACCCTACACCCTACACCCTACACCCTAAACCCTAAACCCCAAACCCTAAACCCTATCCCCCAACCCCCCACCGAATCCCAGGTGATCGTCCCGGGTTTGGTCGAGGCGGCTTGCCAGACCGTGACGGAGGCCGCGATCAGGGAAGTGGGGCTTCAAGGGTTTAGGGGGTGATCCCCTCCCCCTAAGAACCCCGACCCCCTAATATTAAATACCCCCCCCCCCCCCCATATACTAAAATAAAACTACAAGGGGGGGGTATTTACTGTTAGGGGGAGGGGTTTGAATCTATTAGGGGGAGGGGGATGATTTCTGGCAATGTAGGGTTCAGGGGCGATGGTTCATCGACTCAGGGGTTTAGCTTCTACGGATCAAATAGCTTGGTTCCCTGAAGTTGCCGTTTCAGCCAAGGGAATGTTAGAGAAGTTCTTTGTGCGTCGCCAGTTGCCATAAGCGCCCAGCAACAGCCCCCTAAACCCCACACCCCGAACCCTAACCCCAAACTCTAAGCCCCAAACTCTACGAAGCCCAAAACCCAAAACCTTAAACTCTAAACCCTACATCCCATACCCTAAACTCCAAACCCTAAACCCCAAAGCCGTAGACCCCCAAACCCCAAAACCTGAACCCCAAGCCCTAAAACCACCTCAAGTTTGATCTTGTAAGGTTATTGTTGGGTTCAGGGGCTTCAGAATTCAGGGGATGTAGGTTTCAGCTTTCTTTCACCGTTCAGGGTTTAGGGTTACTCCCCTAATTCCTAAACCCTAAATCCCTAGACTCCTAAACCCGAGTCTTTGAACCCTGAAGCTCCTAAGCTCCTAGACACCATGCCTTTCTAAATCCTAAACCATGAAACTCATACTTAGCATCCCCAAACCCTGAACCCCTCAGCCCCGGACGCCCTAGACCCGAAACCCTAACCCCTTACCCCTAAACCCTAAACCCCAAACCCCAAACCCCAAACCACTACGCCTTGAACCCTACGTTGAACCACCCATGACCTCCCAAGATCTCTTGAAATCCCTGAGGTTTAAGGGGTATAAGGAGGGACCCCTAGAAGGGGCCCTTAATTTAGGGTTTAGAGGGTTGAGGGTTTAGGGTTTAGGGTTTAGGGGGAGTCGGTAGTTGTTATAGATACTAGTTCATGCCAATGTCAAGGTTGAGGGCGTTGATTAGGATTTAGGGTGTAGGGATTCCGGGTTTAGGGTCTAGGGTTTAGGGTTTAGGGTTTAGGGTTTAGGGTTTAGGGTTTAGGGTTTAGGGTTCACAACCCTTATAGAGTCCCTCCTTTGGTCCCTTGAGAGGTGCGGAAGCTGATCCGTTTCGGCCTCAAGAAGCGGGCCGGGGCTCTCAGAAGATTAGGGTTTAGGGGTTTAGGGGTTTAGGGGTTTAGGGTTTAGGGTTTAGGGTTTAGGGTTTAGGGTTTAGGGTTTAGGGTTTAGAGTTTAGGGTTTAGGGTTTAGGGTTGGGGTTTAGGGTTCAGGGTTTCGGGGTTTAGGGTTGGGGTTTAGGGTTTAGGGTTTAGGGGTTTAGGGTTTAGGGTTTAGGGTTTAGGGTTGGGGTTTAGGGTTGAGGGTTCAGGGTTTAGGGTTTAGGGTTCAGGTGTAGGGTTTAAGGTTCTCGCTGAGTGTGGGAGCCTGTCGGAGAGCCCAAGACCCCGTGGTTAAGGGTTATAAGGGCATTGGGAAGCAAAGGAAGGCAGGGTTTGGGGTTTAGGCTTTAGGGTTTAGGGTTGAGGGTGAGGAAAGTTTGGGTTGTGGGCTTGGGTCCCAATATCTCCTCCACTCAAGCTTTCTGCGCACATATCAGCCTGCGACAACTCGATCGAGTGGTCGGAGTTCTTCTCCTCGGCGGGTAGCATGTGGCGGGGTCTCAGCGTTGAACGCATTGTCGACGTGCTCAAGTCGCACCAAGACAAGGACCGCTTTGAAGTGAGAGTGGTCATCAAAGCCAAGCTTGGAGGTTCAGTTCCATGCGATCAGAGCAATCCAAGGGCATGATGGTACACTCAGGGTTTGTGGTTTTGGGTTTTGGGTTTCATTAGCTGGTTTAAAGGCTTTCGGGGGAGTGTAGGTTTTGGAGTTGAGGGCTGTCGGGTTTCAGGGCCTGAAGGGCTTTTAGGCGTCGGGCCGAAACCCCGAAACGCTGAGGCCTTAATTCCCCTGCAAACCTTAAAGCCCTAAACCGTAAAGCCCCAAACCCAAAACCCCAAACCCGAAAGCCTTGATGTTGTGGCTTTGAGGTTGGCACATGTTTGCAGATTGTCTGTCACACTGGTCGGCTACTTTTGTCGAATGAAGGGTCCGGTGAACTGCCCGAAGCCCACCTAAACCCTAAAACCCTAAAACGCCGTGGTCTCTGAGTCTGTAAATAAAAGTTGGTTGGGTGTAGGCCACCTGGTAGTACTACCTGGAACCCAGAAGTATTCCTCAAACAGAAAGGGCTGTTGTTTGAAGCCATGACTATGGGCATTTTGTGGGCTCGGCAGTTTCTATGGCCACTGTTGATCCCATATCCAATGGTAGAAGGCCCTTGGACAAAATAAGCCCTAAACCCTAAGCCCTCAACCGTACAACCTGTGTGCCAAGTAACAGCCAAAGACACCCATTCCTGCAATTACAGAACAGACATCTCATTTCATCATGAGAACCCTGCACCCTGGAAAACTGGAAACCTTGAACCCTTGAACCCTTGACTCCAAACCCTAAACCCTCGAACCCTTGAACCCTTGAACCCTTGAACCCTTGAACCCTTGAACCCTTGAACCCTTGAACCCTTGAACCCAAGCACTAAACCCTGGAACCTTGAAGCCTTGAGTCCTTTATCCTTGAGTTACGGAAGTCTCGAACTTCTCCGCGAAGGTGACCTCGGCCACGATCATGAACAACACGTCCTCCCGCAGCCACGCCGTCTTCGTTCTCAAGGATAGGGCCGCTGAACCCTAAACCCTACACCCTAAACACTAAGCCCTAAGCCCTAGACCCAAACCCTATATAAACCCTAAACCCAGCACTAAACCCCAGCGCGCGCATACCCTAAACCCTGCACCGTAAGCCCTCCTCTGGCTCTCAGTGAGCGTCACTTTTGCGCCTGACCTCAAATCCATCAACCGAACAGCTTACCCTAAGCCCTGGACAAGCCGCATGAACCCCAAACCCCAAACCTTAAACCTTAAACCTTAAACCTTAAACCCTAAACTAACCCTAAACACTGGACCCGGATCGGGGGCCCACTACCTTGAAGAAAACCCGGCATGGATCCTCCCTGAAGCTCTGCTAGTAAACCATCACACCCCAAAGCGCCTAAAGCCTCCAAGCCTCTAATAACACCCTAAACCCTAAGCCCTAAGCCCTAAGCCCTAAGCCCTAAGCCCTAAGCCCTAAGCCCTAAGCCCCAAGCCCTAAGCCCTAAGCCCTAAGCAGCATTGTCTTGACAGGTGCAGCGCATCCTCGGGAGGAATGAGGCTGGATTGTGTGCCACCCTACTACCCCCCACCCCCCTCCCCACCCCACGCACAAAAATGTAGAAAGAAATAAGAAGAATCTGTTTGGGGCTGAGGGGTTGAGGGTTTAGGGTAGCAATGGGGCGGAGTGAAGGGGTTGTTTGGGGGTTCGGGTGTAGTTGTATAGAAACCCTAAACCCTAACCACCACAAACCAGTTCAATCGGCCCCTTCGACTTCAGATTCTAAGTTCCTACCAGGGATTTTTCATCCCGCAGTTGTACCTCCAAGTAGGGAACATGTGAGGTACCCCCTTTTGTGGGAGAGGTTGCTAAACCCTCAACCCCTATGAGTTCTGAAGCTTCGCTTGGGTTGCTGCGGTGGATGTTCGTCTCATGGTTCAGGGTTTAGGGTTTAGAGTTTGCATGTGTTGGATGGGTGTCAATCCCGAAAAAAGTTCCAGCTGAGCCGCTGAACATCCGAAAGCCTTTTGAACCAACCCTAAACCCTAAACCCTTAACCCTAAACCCTAAACCCTAAACCCGAAACCCGAAACCCTAAACCCTGAACCCTAAACCCTAAACCCTAAACCCTAAACCCTAAACCCTCCTAGTTCACGATGCAATGGGCCGACTCCCGAACTCCCGATGCCCTGTGTCAGGATGGCTCACGGGAGTCCACGAATGCCAAGATCAACCTGGTGGACCTCGCAGGCCTTAGAAGCTCTAAGTCCTAAACCCTAAATTTAAGAGCCTCCGGCTCAAGCCGCCGACCCCGCTGGAGCATAGTTGAGACCCGCTCGCATGGAAGATCATCCCCGGCAGAGTTCTGTGAATCGTTTGGGGGGCGGTAGGGGGTAGCACCAACCAGGACAAGCTCAAGCCAAAAAGACAGGTGGGTGGGGGTGGGGGGGGAGGGGGGGGGGGGGAGGGGGGTGGGGGGGGGGGGGGGGGGGGGGGGTGGGGGGGGGGGCGGGGTGGGGGGGGTGGGGGGTGGGGGGGTGGGTGCGGAAAACGCTGATTTTGCTGAGGGCGCCCCTACCCCCCTGTGCTGAACCCCTGTTTACGCTGTGCGGGTGGCGCGGTCCTCCACGAAAAAATTGTGCACCGACCCCCCCACCCCCCGTTTTGGGGGGGTAAGGAGGGAAAGAGGGAGGTTTTCACCTCCTCAAACCCATCCAACACGCCGCCAGGGTCGGCGGACCCTAAACCCTAAACCCTAAACCCTAAACCCTAAACCCTAAACCCTAAACCCTAAACCCTAAACCCTAAACCCTAAACCCTAAACCCTAAACCCTAAACCCTAAACCCTAAACCCTAAACCCTAAACCCTAAACCCTAACCCTAAACCCTAAACCCTAAACCCTAAACCCTAAACCCTAAACCCTAAACCCTAAACCCTAAACCCTAAACCCTAAACCCTAAACCCTAAACCCTAAGCCTAAACCTTAAACCCTAAACCCTAAACCCTCTGTTTACGGTTGAGGGGTGGAGAGTAAGCCTTAAACGTGCAGCTTACGGGTTTGCAGGTCTAGAGCTTTCGAGGTAACCGAGCGCATAAGCTTGTGGATTTTAAGACCATGTCCTCCAGACTGTGCCGGGGTGCCGTACCTTAAACCCTTGGGTTTAAGAGGATCATATTCAAGGATCTTTTTCAGAAGGTTTTTGTTAAGGGCCATCCTATGATATTATCATATTGCGAGATTCATCTTTATTCGTAGATCTCATTCCCCACCTTCGGTGTGGGGTTGTTAGATTTTAAACTCAACTCTTCTCCCTCTAACACTTTGGAGCCTTCTAAGCACTTCATCCACGAGCACTAGTGTGTTAGGTGCCGATGAGTAGCTGAGTAGATTAGAAAAAAACACCTTGTAAGCCCTGTATTGGTCACTTCTCCAAAATATGGTCCCTTTTGGGGTCCTTAGTGTAAGGCGGCCCCTCGTATTCAGGGCACCCAAAAGGGACCATAATTTTGAGAAATGACGATATAGATTATCAACCACCGAAGCCCTAGACCCTTCATACGCAAAGAGACTAGGACCCGGAGTAGGCCCTTTGTTTCTTTTTAGGGCTGGGGTTCCCTAACCCTAAACCCTAAACCCTAAACCCCAAACCCCAAACCCTAGACCCTCAACCCTAAACCCTAAACCCCCTATTCCTAGGTTACTCTTGGGGTCTAGGAGATCTGCAGGTTCAGAGAGGCACAAGTCCTCGGACTTCCAGGGCCACACCTTCAAAGAGGGCGCCGCCCTCGACGCGGGGTTTTGCATCACCAGAGTGTGGGGTTTAGGGTTAAGGGTTAAGGGTTAAGGGTTTAGGGTTAGGGTTTACCGTTTAGGGCTGAGTTGGAGTACAACTCTCAAAGATTTCTGGGCCAGAGCCCCGTCTACTTCAGCTCCATCGAGCCCATAGAAGTTCAACGTTTCAAGAGGGCCCCGTCATCCACCCTACAATGAGGGGGGGCACGTAGAACCCTAAACCCTAAACCCTAAACCCTAAACCCTAAACCCTAAACCCTGAACCCTGAACCCTGAACCCTGAACCCTGAACCCTGAACCCTGAACCCTGAACCCTGAACCCTGAACCCTGAACCCTGAACCCTGCTTCTACATACCCATGAACCTCCAAGTAGGGTTTAGGGCTTCGGGGTTGTGCAACCTCAACCCTGCACCCCTTAATCCTAAGCCCCGCTAAACCCACTGAAGCCTAGACCCACTAAGCCGACTAGGCCGACTAAATCCTAAACCCTAAACCCTGAACCTCGAGAATCTCTCAGAGGCAGACCTCTTTCTCTTTTTTAAGGGTTTCCGGTAAACCCTAAACTTTAAGCTTTTAACATCCCACACCCTCCTTCTCCCAGTGGTAGGCCTCTCTGGCGTGTTTTCCTCTTTTTTTTGATCAGGGTTTCGGGCAACAACCCTACTAGGATGCCCAGTAGTACCCTTATTCCCTTTTTGGGGGGTTTAGGTTCCCTTATAAACCCCCTTTAAGCAAAAAAGGGCACCCTTTTTAAGCCTAGATTACTGGGCAGCCTAGCCTAAACTTTAAAACCTAAAATCCTACGTCGAATAAACCCTGAGCCTTCAGGGCTCCAAGGGCTTGGCTCCCGCAGCACAAGCACTTGGGGCGGCATGTCTGCAAACCCTAAACCCTAAACCCAAAACCCTAAACCCTAAACCCTCCTTGCGGCATGTCGACAAGGCTGCGCCATCAACCAGAGTCTCTCCGCCTTGGCCTTGGCTGCCCGGCCGCACCCGGAGTGTCACAGTGAGAGTCTAAAGTTCTGGGGGTTCTGAAGGGAGGGTGGAGGGTTTAGGGTTTAGGGTTTAGGGTTTAGGGTTCAGAGTTTAGGTTTTAGGGTTTAGGGTTTATATAGGGTTTAAAGCCCAAATTTATAGCTCAACTATGGCGTAATCAAGGGCGAATCCCGACCCCCCCCCCCCCCCCCCGTATTTTTCAGGGGGCAGGGGGAACCCTGAACCCCCCAGACCCTGAACCCTAAGCCGCCAAAACAAACCCCAAACCCTAAACCCTAAACCCTTAACCCTAAACCCTAAACTTTAAACCCAGGTCATCAAGGAGCTGGGAGAGCAGCAGCAAAGTCGCGTCATGAGGCTGCTGTTTCTGAGTGGTACTTAACCTTGGAGGTTCATATGGTTAGCTGCAGCTACAAGCGGGGTTTAGGTTTAGGGTTTAGGGTTTAGGGTTTAGGGTTTAGGGTTTAGGGTTTAGGGTTTAGGGTTTAGGGTTTAGGGTTTAGGGTTGAGAGTTGTAGGTATGGTAACTACACTCAAAGACCCTAGGTGAGGCACTTTAACCCTACTTCTAGCTACCCGTGAAGACCTCTAAGTAGTCTTCTCTCTTTCTCTCTTTCTCTCTTTCTCTCTCTCTCTCTCTCTCTCTCTCTCTCTCTCTCTCTCTGTCTCTCTTTTGTGATGTTTGCTACTCCGAACGGCCCCAGTCGCTCCCCAGTCGCTCCCAGTCTGTTTGGCGCTCGGTCCCCTAAACCCTAAACCCTAAACCCTAAACCCTAAACCCTAAACCCTAAACCCTAAACCCTAAACCCTAAACCCTAAACCCTAAACCCTAAACCCTAAACCCTAAACCCTAAACCCTAAACCCTAAACCCTAAACTCGGGTCTGGGAGGCTTTTGAAGATCAAGATGCCAGGGATGCAGCGTTTACACCGCGTTTACCCTTGGTAGCCCAGTAGTACCCGTTTCCCTTTGTTTGGTTCAAGGTTCCCTTTTCAGGTAGCCAAGCCCCGAAAAGGGCGCCCTTATTATCACATGGTTACTGGGCTAATTGCCAAGTACCTGGTGCTTTATATGTTTTAGGTGCAGGTGACATGTGGAAGATTGCAAAACTCCACCTGACACCTGTGGGGTGGGCTTGCGTTCCTTGGGGGGGGGGGGGGGGGAAGGGCTTCTACCAGTTCACAATGGATAACAGTTTCGCGTTGCATTTACTCTGGAGAAAGTTTTGGGTAGGACTTCTTGGTGTTGCGGGTGGAGTTCTTTGAGGGGAAGGCAGCCGCAGGCAAAGTGAATGTGACGAGGGCGACTAGGACTGTCCGCTGTACTATTGCTACTGTCATTTTCTATTCTTGTTATTCTTACTACAATTACCATTTTCCGAGCCACCTACTACTGCTACTGCTACTGCTACTGCTACTACTACTACTACTACTACTACTACTACTACTACTACTACTACTACTACTACTACTACTACTACTACTACTACTACTACTCCTACTCCTACTGCTACTGCTACTGCTACTGCTACTGCTGCTGCTGCTACTACTACAACTACAACCTTACTGAGGATTGCGAAAACCCATCCGCAACAGCCGAACCCTTCGATCATCAAACCTAGAGGGCGAAAGGTGCAAGGCAAGGATCCGATATGAGGGGACGCGCTAAGCTACGCGCAATCGGAGACCTTGTTTCGTGCATTGCGTCCTGTGTTGTGAAGTTTTTTGGAGCAAGGACATGCATTCTCAAGTCCGTACAACCGTAACCTCTAAACCCTAAACCCGAATTTGCAAAGTTGCCCCTCGAGTCGCAGGCAGCGCTCCAGGAGCATGTCCATCGACAAGTCTGCCGGGTTGGGCCCGTCGACGCCTGCGGCAGGGGCTCTGCTGGAGTGCAAGGCCCTCGCTTTTGGGGTTTGGGGGTTTTACTTGGGGGTTCATGGGTAGTTGTAAGTAGGGATCTAAGTTTGGGAACTCTACCTCTAACCCTAGCCCTATTTGTAGTCCTTCTAGCCCTACTTACAACTGCCCGTAAGCCTCCAAGTACGGTGTTGGGCTTATGCCTTGAGGTTTAGGCTAAACCCTTACACCCTAGACGCTAAACCCTAAAGCCTGCAAGGAGTCCACTCGTGGCTCCTTTAAGAAACGCCTAGCCTTGGGGCAGAAGCCTCTAGTCTCTTAAGCACTCTATTCACGGGGAGCACCTGCGGGGTTTAGGGTTGAAGGGGGGGGAGGGGGCCAGAGCAACAGTCGGCAGATTCTCCCGGAACCAGCTGCGTTGATCTCGCCCCCGAAGCCCTCCAACTCCCGCACCCTGACACCCCTAAACTCTTCAACAGCCTCGAAGCAAGTAAGCCTTTAAACCTAAGGCACTTAAAACCCCGTACACCCTTTACTAAGCCCTGAAGCCTAAGCCTAAAGCGCCGGAGGAAGTCGTTCCCTTCCGCTCCTCCAAGCTCACGCTCCCTGAGCAGCATTTGTTGGACCTGAACGCCCTATAAACCCTACACCTTAACCCCCCCCAAACCCTATAAACCTTGATTCATTCCTGGGCGGGGTAGGGATCATGAGGGGTCCCTGAACGTCGAGACCGCCTTTCTAGGGTTTAGGGCTTAGCGGTTATAAGTATGGAGAGGTCTATGGCTTTAGGGTTTGAAGGTTTAGGGGTTTGGGGGTGTAGGGTTTTAAGGGTTTAGGGTTTAGGGTTCTTTTGGAAGATCTGCGGTTCCTGACCAAGGCACCGACGCTAGACTCCACACCCAGCGAAGCGAACCCTGCGAATTAGCAGCAAACCCACATCCTTAACCGAGCCTTAAGCCTAAACCCTAAACCCTATATAAACACTAAACCCTAAACCCTAAACCCTAAGCCAGTTTTTTTAAAACACCCCACCCCAAAGCCTGCATGTGGTGTTAGGACTTAGCGCCCACACCCCTTTGACCAAGTGTAGCCTCAACTTCCATGGGGGTTTTTGGTTTAGGGTTTAGGGATACCTCTTTTGAATCCTTCTTCTAAGGGGCCCCCAGTACTTGGGGGGTCTGTAAAAGCGGGCCTGCACGATCTTAAATCTTAAATACAGGAATCCTGACTTGTGAGTTGCTCGTTGGTCCTTCATGAAGGGGTATTTCGGCTCTGGGCAGCATTTGTGCTGGCCGCATCCGGGATGCTTGGAATTAAGGGTTTAGAGGCTATGCCTTACTTCAGCTTCAATGATCCAGGTTCCGTTTCAGTTGAACTACTGGGTTTGAGCCCTGAACCCTCAACCGCTAAACCCTAAAACCTTTAGGGTTGAGGGCTGAGGATCCCCAGCTACCCCGCGCCCCTTCCGCACTCACCCCAAGTTTTCACCTTTAAAAAAGGCATGGTTCAAGGGCCTCTCTCCAGGGAAGCAGTTGGGACTCAACGAGGTTACCGAATACCGGCATACCTAACATGACTTGGAATTTTTCTGGAGGGCGAAGACAAGTTTGGTCAGTTCTCTTAATGATGGTACAATTTTGGGTACCTTAAATACGAGGGACAGCCTTGCAACAGTGATCCAAAAGGGATTGGCTTAGGCATTGGGGCGGTGTGGAGGGGGGGGTAAGGGGGGGGTAGGGGTAGGGGGGGGGTGGGGGGGGGTAGGGGGGGGGGGTAGGGGGGAGCGGAAAAGCTGGTGGGGTACCCCCCCCTACCCCCCCCCCCCCCCCTTGCGTTTTGGGGGGGTAAGGAGGGAAAGAGGGACCTCCTTTTCCCATCAACACGCCGCCAGGGTCGGCGGACTCCTATTTTGCTTAAGAGTCCCCGCCCCCCCCCCCCCCAAAAAAAAAAAAAAAGAAAACAAAAAGAATAAAACATGCTCTTCCTTGTAAGGGCAAAATCTAGTAGAGGGATGATTATCGTTTACTTTAGGGGTCGGAACAATTACTAGTAAAATTAACTTCTGGCCGCTTTGTATATATATATATATATTTATTTATATTTATTATTATTTATGTATGCATCAGGAGGAAGAAAGTTTTGTCGCACTTGCATATCTTGCGTTAGTGGAGGACGCGGAGTACGCGGAAGTGCATTTCCTGTGGCCTGGCCAGCGGAGGAATGTCCGCGCTGTTTTAAACATATATTACTTTTTTGTTCCGACGGAGGACTTTAAATCCTCCGCGCCCAAGAGGCACATCTTGTGGAGGAGTCTATGGGGGGTGGGGGGTTTGCACGTACATGCTGGCATAAGTTCCCGACGCGACGAACTTTCATCCTGGCGCAGCATGAACTCCAAGACCGATAGTTCGGCGCGGCGCGTCCGTGTGAAAACTGGCAGGACAGACGCGTCCCTACTCATGTTGAGTGTTTCCAAGGCAGGCCAGGGAAGCTCAGGCAGACACCTGCACGGAAATGTTGCCTTGCAGGAAATTTGCACGGGTCCCTATTCATGTTGAGTGGGGTGGGAGCAGCATGAACTCCAAGACCGATAGTTCGGCAAGGCACGTCCGTGTGAAACTGGCAGGACAGGCGCGTCCCTACTCATGTTGAGTGTTTCCAAGGCAGGCCAGGGAAGCTCAGGCAGACACCTGCACGGAAATGTTGCCTTGCAACAAAATGTGCACGGGTCCCTATTCATGTTGAGTGGGGTGGGAGCAGCATGAACTCCAAGACCGATAGTTCGGCAAGGCGCGTCCGTGTGATACTGGCAGGACAGGCGCGTCCCTACTCATGTTGAGTGTTTCCAAGGCAGGCCAGGGAAGCTCAGGCAGACACCTGCACGGAAATGTTGCCTTGCAGGAAATATGCACGGGTCTCTATTCATGTTGAGTGGGGGGAGCAGCATGAACTCCAAGACCGATGGTTCGGCAAGGCACGTCCGCGTGAAACTGGCAGGACAGACGCGTCCCTACTCATGTTGAGTGCTTCCAAGGCAGGCCAGGGAAGCTCAGGCAGACACCTGCACGGAAATGTTGCCTTGCAACAAAATGTGCACGGGTCCCTATTCATGTTGAGTGGGGTGGGAGCATCAGGAGGAAGAAAGTTTTGTCGCACTTGCATATTTTGCGTTAGTGGAGGACGCGGAGTACGCGGAAGTGCATTTTCTGTGGCCTGGCCAGCGGAGGAATTTCCGCGCTGTTTTAAACATATATTACTTTTTTGTTCCGACGGAGGACTTTAAATCCTCTGCGCCCAAGAGGCACATCTTGTGGAGGAGTCTATGGGGGGTGGGGGGTTTGCACGTACCTGCTGGCATAAGTTCCCGACGCGACGAAGTTTCGTCCTGGCGCAGTATTTGAATAACCCCCCAAAACCCTATTTTAATTGTTCAGGCCCCCATGTTATGTTTTTCGTGGTTCTGGAGCAGATACCAGCCAGACTCTTTTTGGTTTTTCAGGTTCCTTCTGCGGGACTCGCTCGCCGGGAACACGAGGAGCCGGATGGTGGCTGGCCCAATGTGAACGTTTCTTTGCCCTAAACCCTAAACCCGAAACCCTAAACCCTAAACCCTAAACCCTAAGCCCTAACCCCTAACCCTGAAGTCGGAGGGGAAGAGTAGCTACAGAGGCCTAAAGAAATGCAAACTATCCTCTCACAGCCGGAAAAACTTCACAACATACCCGTTCTAACTACTGTAGGCCCCTAGAGTGGGTGCTATGTACAAAGTGTAAAGTATGACCCTGAACCCTAAACCCGAAGCCCTTTAACCTTACAACCCCGACGTCAGCCCTCCTGCTGTCGTGATTCTTGCAGTTTGCGCTATTCGTGGTGCCAGGCTTCTGAGGGTTTTGGGTGCAGGGTTACGGTGCGAATGACGAATCTTCCTCAGATGCCCGCAATATTGATGAACCACCGCGACACTCGCTTCGAAGTCTGGATCCCGCTACTCGGTCCTCTGAACCCCTGAACCCTCACCCGGCCATGCTAAGTTTATAGTAGAGGCCAAAAAGTTTAAAAGTCAATAGCCTCAATCTCTAAGAGTAAGGTTTAGGGAATCCCAGCGCTATTTGTACTTAGAAAAGGTTTCCAACTTTTTGGGGTTTACTGTAATACTGTAAACTCTAAGGTCGGAACCATGGGCCCTTAGTATGGTTCCCTGGCCCTTGTTTAAAGGCATCCGAAGTATGGGCCCTTATGTACAGTGTTTGTAAACGAACCCCAACCCAGCTTTTTTGCGGCCGGGGGACCCTAAACCCTAAGAGACTGAACATGTATCCAGAGACCCCAACTCCCCTTTCTTCAGGACAATACAGCCCCGGGGCCGAAAGGGTTGAAGGGCTTTCAGGGTTTTAAGGGTTTTCACCGTTTCTTTTTTTTTCTTCGGTTTTGAGGGTGTTAAGGGCTTTACTTGCTTTAAGGGTTTTGGGGGTGTTAATGGTGCATGGTTTCTCCAAGGTTCAAAGTATGGGCCCTTCGTTTGGGTCCCTTACTCCAAAACCCTTAGGGTTTAGCATTTTGGGTTTCAAGGGTTTCAAGGGTTTCAAGGGTTTCAAGGGTTTCAAGGGTTTTAAGGGTCTTAAGGGTTTTAAGCGTTTTAAGGGTTGTAAAGGTTTTAAGCGTTTTAAGGGTTTAAGGGTTTTATGGGTTCAGGGTGGTAAAGGCCCAAAGTCTTACCTTGGGTCGGGTGTCGTCAGGGTGGGTGGGTGCGTGTGAGGGGGGGTATGGGCTATAAGCCCTAAAGCTTGGGATGTTCCCCCTTAGACTAGCAGTTTTAACAGGGATTATGATGAGGATACTATAATCCCTATGAAGGATTGTTAGTATAAGGGCGGAACATCCCAACCTAAAGCCGAAACCTTAAGCTCCTTAGCTGGTATACTTTCCCCAGATAAACCCCTTGCGCAACCCTTGTACGGCCCTTAGTGGCCTCATATAGCCTTGTTAGGGCTTGTAGCAGCCGTGTAATTTTAAGTTATAAGATACCCCCCCGCCCCCCTTCTACCTCCAAAACCCTAAACCCCACCTGAGAAATCCCTTCCTGACGCAGTGTGGCGCCCAGAGGTAGCTTGCGTCTCTCCTGCTGCCATCAACGCCGATGAGACGATTAGCAACCTGGTGCCAAGGTTTGGGGTTTAGGGTTTAGGGCTATGAGGGCTATGAGGGCTATGAGGGCTGCGAGGGCTCTGAGGGTTCTGAGGGCTCTGAGGGCCATGCAGGAGGGCTCTCCCCAAAGAGTCCAATAACCTTTTGTTACGGATTCTACCCTCCGTTTCATGCTAAGAGTCCCGAAGTCCCTGTGTAGCTTCAGGTCTACTAGGGTTTAGGGTTTAGGGTTTTGGGTTTTGGGTTTAGGGTTTAGGGCTACTGCTCGTGTCTTTGAATGCTCCTCAACTGAGGGGTGTGGGTCTCCCTGGGGCTATGCTTGCTATGAGGCCTTGAGCTCCAGGCGCGTTAGGTGTCACGAATGCAGCGCACAGCAACGGGGGTGAACTGGCACAAGAGAGAACGATTCTTGACCCTACACCCGAAACCCGAAACCCGAAACCCGAAACCCGAAACCCGAAACCCGAAACCCTGAACCCTGAACCCTAAACCCTAAACCCTAAACCCTAGACCCTAAACCCTAAACCCTAGACCCTAAACCCTAAACCCTAAAAAGAAGCCTAAACTTCACTAGGGGTTGCTTCGGGGGGGGGGCCAGAAAGTCCAAGACCACTCAATGACGGAATGCAGCTTGGCTACATAGGCATCCTTTTTGATGTCCTCGGCGACGTTTTAGAGTGCACTGCGAAAGAAAGGCCAGAAGCAAAAATCCCAAGAACTGGCTTGCTCTGATGTTTTGGCGGTACCCTTGTTATCCGGAGGTTCAGTCCCGCTATCTTGGCCATGGCGGTAGCGATCAGTCGTCTGTGCACCTCACGCCGGAATTGGTGCGGCAGTTGCAAATTCCACTGCTGGCGCCTTCCATCATGCTCATGGGAGAGAAGTGGAGTTCAGCTCCCACTACCAGGGCTTCCTCCCCAACCACAGCAGTGTATCATGCAATATTAAATCGGGATTCAGGCAATTTCGGAGAGGCCCTAGACCCCAAACCCTAAAGCTTGAAACCTAAACGTAAACCCTAAACCCTAAACCCTACACCCTACACCCTAAACCCTAAACCCTAAACCCTAATCTCTAAACCCTAAACCCTAAACCCTACACCCTAAACCCTAAACCCTAAACCCTAAACCCTAAACCCAAATCCTTTAAACCCTAAACCCTAAACCCGAAACCCTTTTCCTTAATTGAGGGGTACTGGGCTCATTGGTTGCCTTGCCTCAGGCACCTGCCGCTTTGCGGCTTCGGTGAAGAAGGCCTTGAGCCGAGCTTCGCTGCGGTTCAGGGTTTAGGGTTTAGGGTTTAGGGTTTAGGGTTTAGGGTTTAGGGTTGGGCCCCAACCCTAAACCCTAAACCCTAAACCCTAAACCCTAAACCCTAAACCCTAAACCCTAAACCCTAAACCCTAAACCCTAAACCCTAAACCCTAAACCCTAAACCCTAAACCCTAAACCCTAAACCCTAAACCCCCTAAACCCTAAACCAAACCCTAAACCCTAAACCTAAAATCCCTAAACCCTAAACCCTAAACCCTAAACCCTAAGCCCTAAACCCTAAACCCTAAACCCTAGCCCTAAACCCTAAACCCTAAACCCTAAACCCTAAACCTAAACCCTAAACCCTAAACCCTAAACCCTAAACCCTAAACCCTAAACCCTAAACCCTAAACCCTAAACCCTAAACCCTAAACCCTAAACCCTAACCCTAAACCCCCAGGATGCACCAAAAAGGGCACTCTGTTTATTCCTGGGTTACGCCTGGGTCTATATGAAAGGGCCCTTCGGCCAGTTCGCAGCGCAGACGTGGCTGCGGGTGGTGTTCAGAAGGTCGTGGGGTGGGCACGTCTTCGCACTACTGCGTTCATCTGACCAAGGCTGCACCCTAAACCTTCACAACCCTAACCTTCACAACCCTAAACACTAACAGGTGAACACTAAACCCAAAACACTAAACCCTAAACTCTAAGCCCTAAGCCCTAAACCCTAAGCCCTAAGCCCTAAGCCCTAAGCCCTGAGCCCTGAGCCCTAAGCCCTAAACGCTAAACCCAAACCCTAGGCCCTAAGCCCCAAACCCTAAACCCAAACCCTAAACCTAAACCTTAAACCCTAAATCCCTGCTTGGGGAAGTTAAGTTCGGTCAGGTGAGGACGAACGCCTGCGTCAACGTCGACCGCAAGAAGGGCGTGGTGCAACACCTGCAGGCCATTTTGAGACAGGGCTAGGTTTTCAGGGTGTAGGGTGTAGGGGTGAGAGAATAGGGTTTAAGTTGTAGGAGTAGGGTTTAGGGTTAAGGGTGTAGGGTGTAGGGTTGAGGGAGTAGGGTTTAGGTTGTAGGGTTTTGGATAAACCCTGCTGCTTTTGGGTCCTGGTCGGGGGGGGGGGGGGGGGGGGTTGCCTTTGGCGAGAGGTTTTTGGGTTTACGAAAATTGGGGACCCCCCAATTTGACCCCCCCCCCCCCAAGTAGTAGGATCCCGTTGTAAAAAGGACCCCAATACGGTAGCCCCTGATTTCGCAAACCCCTAAAGAAGGCCGGGCATCCTGGCAAAGCTCTTTGAATACCAACAATGACGGTAAGAACTGATGGCTTCATAAAGCCCTAAACCCTAAACCCTAAACCCTAAACCCTAAACCCTAAACCCTAAACCCTAAACCCTAAACCCTAAACCCAAAACCCAAAACCCAATCATACTGGCATAAGAAGAAAGGTTCTTCGTAAACCCCCAAAGCCGTCTCAAGAAGCGACCTTCAACTATACGACTTGAGGGATCAGGGGATGGTCGGGCAACCCTAAAGCCTAAAGCCTAAAGCCTAAAGCCTAAACCCTAAACCCTAAACCCCACACCCGAAACCCTAAACCCCAAGCCCCAGCCCCAGGCCGAGATCCGCCGGTTGAAGAAGCTGCTGGCGGCGCGTGGGGTGGAGGCCGACATGGGCATTCCCTCAAACGGAGTGTCCCGGGTTTAGGGTTTAAGGTTTAGGGTTTAGGGTTTAGGGGTATAGGGCGCCCTAGTGAAGGTTCCCGGGTTTCGGGTGTAGGTTTTGGATTTAGCTGCCACCATCCTAGAAATATCGCAGGGGAGGCTCAAACCCCCCCCCCCCCCCCACCACCTTCCCCTGCCTTCGTAAAATAGGAGAAGCAGGGCATACGGCACTTAGTTGAGCTCCTAAAGCCCAAACCCAATTTCCGCTCGTTCAGGTTGAGTTTTGTCCTCGGCTTCGGAACCGGAAGTTACTTGAGGGGCCCCACCCCCCAGTTTTGGGTTTTAGGGGTCAGGGCTTGCTTTGTGTCCCCATACACCTACGGCCCGGGGCTCGGCGGATTTTGGGGCTCTACTTTCAAGTAAGTTCCCAATTTTAAGCACCCTGAAACCTACATCCTAAACCCTAAACCCTAAACCCTAAACCCTAAACCCTGAACCCTGAACCCTGAACCCTGAACCCTGAACCCTGAACCCTGAACCCTGAACCCTGAACCCTGAACCCTGAACCCTAAACCCTAAACCCTAAACCCTATAGACAGACATTCTCTACATCTTTGCCTGGCAAAGGTTGGTGCACTGGGCGCAGGCTCTGTGCAGGAGGCAGCGCCTGGCATTTTCTTTTTGCCGGGGTCGGGGGGTTTAGGGTTTAGGGTTTAGGGTTTAGGGTTTAGGGTTTAGGGTTTAGGGTTTAGGGTTTAGGGTTTCCGAGGTTTGACGGTTTGAGGGCACTTTTGCTGGTTGAAGATTCGGGGTGGCAGGGCCTGCTCAGGGCTGTAGGGATCTGGGGTTTAGGGTGTAGGGTTTCGGGTTTAGGGTTTAGGGATTAGGGTTTAGGGTTTAGGGTTTAGGGTTTAGGGATTAGGGATTTGGGGCTTTCTTTGGGGGGTTTTGGGTTTGGGTCTTCGGGAATAGGGCTTTGGGCCTTTTTCGAGGCATGGGGGGGGGGATTTGTAGGGTTGCTGTAGGGGGGGTGTTGGGACGGGCTAAGGGGTTTTAGGTTTGGGTCTCTCGTTTGCCTCATTGACTCGGACCTGGACCTAGAGTAGGACATTGGTTCCCTTCTTCATGGTTTTGGTTCCCTCGTAAAAGCCGTTTGAAACACCGACGTATCTCCTCAATTCTAAGCACTAAGCCCTGAACCCTAAACCCGAAACCCTAAACCTGAACGTGTTTAGGGTACAGGCTTTTGGTGGTGCGACACTTAGGGTCGAATAAACTGGCCGACCCAACACTCCCCAGGCTTCGGGGTTTAGGGTGTGGGGATTATCAGGCTTAGGGTTCAGGGTTTAGGGCTAGGGTTTAGGGTTTAGGGTTTAGGGTTTAGGGTTTAGTGTTTAGGGTTTAAGGTGTAGGGTTTAGGGTTTAGGGTTTGCGGCATAGATGGTTTCGTACTGGCTTTGGGTGGAGACCCCAGATGCCTCCAAACGGAGTTCGACTCGTTGCCCTTCGGCCCCCACAGGAGATCGCCGACCGCGAGCGGGTCCTCAAAACTCTGAAGCAGAGCCTACGCTTGGGTTTATGCATCATGTGGTAGGATTTTTAGGGTCATCTGCCAGGATCCCCCCCCCCCCCTTCCTCGATTTAGGGTTTAGGGTTTAGGGTTGGGGTTTAGGGGGAGGGAGTCGAGTTTTCTTCCTAGTCTTTTCGGGAGCAGTCCAGGTTAGGGTGCAGGGCGCGCAGACCTAGTAACTTCTCAGCCCTAAAGCCTCAACCCAAAATCTACGCTAGACCCTCTATCCTTTCTTCTTCTTACGCCACGACTGCTGTCTGGGGGGGCCGCAGTGCATTCCTCCGTGAGTTCACGCCCTTCTTTTGAAATTTTGTTCATGGGACTCTATCTTGTACCCCTAAGGTTGTACTTTTGGGTTTTGAGACCCGTTTGAAAGATCCTCCAAGGGAATAAAGGACCATGTTAGGAGTATATTCAGGGAACGTCTTAGGGGCACATCCTTAGGGGTCCGAGTATGACTCCCGTGCTTTTTATAGATCTCCCAATATGCGTGGTGGTTGTGTAGAAAATAGCCTTAAAGTCGTATGGGCTTGAACCCTTGTCTGATCCTATGTCACCCATAGAACGTTAATCTTCCATACCTGGAGGTTCGTGGGTAGCTACAAGTAGGGTTCTAAACCCTGTAGCCCTAAACCCTAAACCACAAACCCCAAACCCTATCACCCTAAACCCCAAACCCTAAACCCGAAACCCTAAACCCTATAACCCTATAACCCTATAACCCTATAACCCTATAACCCTATAACCCTATAACCCTATAACCCTATAACCCTATAACCCTATAACCCTATAACCCTATAACCCTAAGCCCTAAACCCCAAACCCTAAAACCTTAACCCTAAACCGTAAACCCTAAACCCTAAACCCTAAACCCTAAACCCTAAACCCTAAACCCTAAACCCTAAACCCTAAACCCTAAACCCTAAACCCTAAACCCTAAACCCTAAACCCTAAACCCTAACCCGGACGCCCTGAACAGCCCAGGAGCTATCAGGTGCAGGTCGAGGAGGCCAGGAGACTTCTAGGGTTCTGAAGGGAGGGGGGTTTAGGGTTTAGGGTTCAGGGTCTAGGGCTTAGGGTTTAGGGCTAGGAGACTTCGAGGGTTCTTAAGGGCGGGGGGGGGGGGTCCAGGGGCTTTCTTCAGGGAGGGGGTCTAGGGTTTAGGGTTTAGGGTTTTGGGGTATAGGGAACCTTAGGGATGCTTAGGGAGCCTTAGGGAGTCGTGGGGGGGTTTTAGGGAATCTTGGGAATGTGACCCCCTTGAACCCCCCGTCCCTTGAGAACCCTATGAGGAGACTAAAGTTTGGAAGTCTGTTTTTAGGGTTTAGGGCTGTAAAAGGGGTTTAGGGTTTAGGATTTGGGGTTTAGGGTTTGCTGTAGCATCAATTGAACGCCACAAAGTTGGAACATCCTTATCCCCATACCCAAAAGGGTATATACTAAAGGGAACCCCAGCTCTCGTCCTTAATTAAACCCTGTTCCAACTTTCTGGATAGTGATTAGTTTAGGGTTTAGGGGCTTGAGCGGCTCGGGCACCCAGGTATGTCACTTTGCGTTCTGATGTTGGTTTGGGGTTCGCGGGTAAAGCCGACACCCTACGGTTTTCCCCCTCAAAAAAATGCAATCCTAAAACCCTGAACCGTATAAAGCCTAAACCTTAAATCCCCTCCCCCCTCCCCAAACCCTAATAAAAGCCTAAACCCTAAACCCTAATACCAGTGGTTAGGCATGCCTGTTTCATTCAGCATCCACCATGATCCTGCTGCATTTCGCAGGCCCCAAATTTGCCCAAGCTACAATCCACAGCCAGGGTTTAGGGTTTATGTTTAGGGTGTAGGATTTAGGGTTCAGTTAGCTGCGACTCATACCATGGCAGCACCCGAGCTGGCAGCAGCCTGCATCTTGTGCGGGCAAGTGGCGGACGGGGAGCACTTCGACGCGTGCTTCGAGCGACACTGTCCAGTCTCAAGGCCTGTAACCCAGGGTTTAGGGTTTAGGGTTTGGGGTTTAGGGGTTAGGGTTTAGGGTTTAGGGGTTAGGGTTTCCGGGGTTCAAGGACTGCCACGCCGGTCCCGCCTCGTCATCCCGTTCTTTTTTGGCTACTTGGCAGTTCAGTGGTACCCTTTGCCTGTGTTTAGGGTTTAGGGTTTAGGGTTTAGGGTTTAGGGTTTAGGGTTTAGGGTTTAGGGTTTAGGGTTTAGGGTTTAGGGTTTAGGGTTTGTTTGGTTCTTGGGCTCCCTTATAAAGTAGCCAACACCAAAACGGGTTTAGGGTTTAGAGTTTAGGGTTTAGGATTATTATGAGATGGCTACTGGGTGACCAAGGCTGGGCAAGTGGCCAGCCACGCTGGCAGTGAAGATTCGCCACTAGCAGCTGAATGAGTACTTGTTGGGATGCTATCCCTAAACCCTACCCCGAAACCCGAAACCCGAAACCCTAAACCCTAAACCCTAAACAAAGCCTAACAGCAACTAAGGTGACTACTTGGCGCTCCCCGAGCGCCTGACTTTGGCATGCGCATCAAGGCATGCGAACATGCTTTGCGGCGACTGGGTAGCCCAGTGATACCCCCTGTTCCCCTTTCTTGGTTTAGGGTTTAGGGTTTAGGGTTTAGGGTTTAGGGTTTAGGGAGGGTTTAGGGTTTAGGGTTCAAGGTTCCCTTCTGAAGTAGGCAACCCCAATAAGGGTGCCGTTGCTGAAATATGTTTCTGGGGCTACCAAGGCGATGAGGAGGCGTGGGGCCAGTACGCCACGACCTTGTGGGCTGCCTTGTGGAAGTCGGCGGGCACCCTCCCGGATGGAAACTGCGGCTGCCGTTGCTTAGCAGATGACTGAGTACACTTTACACTTTTTGGGATACTATAACCTCTACAGAACTAAAAGTGTACACTTTTTTGGGCGCTTATGAACTCAGCAACTAAGGTTTCAGTTCTCCCCAAGAAGTGCAATCCGTCGACCCCAAGATGAAAGTGCTAGGATTGTGGCACCTTCAGTCTCTCACAACACTCGAGATTGACGTGAGGACAACGACTAGAGAGTATCGACGATTGACCGTGGAGCCGCACGCGACCGTTGCCCATGTGAAGAAGTTGCTCGAGCACCAGACAGGCTTTGCAAAGGATCATTGTGAGCTAATCGTACGTCACACGGGCAAGACGCTTTCCCATCAAGAGGCCCCAGTTGCGGCGTACCTTTGGCTGTCATTCTGCAGAAGTTCCTCCGCTTGGCGGAGGCCGCCGATTTTGGAAATGACGATCAAGCTGTTCCCCTGGTGCAGTGAAGCTCGAATGTTAGATGCAAGTTCGTGAGGATTGGACAAAATCTATGGTTTTGGTCGGCCAACGCATGGTATACTAAAAAGACCCTAAACCCTAAACCCTAAACCCTAAACCCAAAACCCTAAACGCTAAACCCTAAACCCTTAACCGACCATGTCAAGAAGGTTGTTGCAAGTTGCAACCAGAGATTTTGGGCTCCTCTTGTACAGATCGGACTTGGAGAGATGGAGACTCTTTGCACATCTATCTTTGCCACGTGCTCGGTGAGAAGAGCTGCTCGCTGCCGTCAACTTCCCTAAGCCCTTAACCCTGAACCCTGAACCCTAAACCGTAGACCCTAAACCCTAGACCCCAAACCCTAACAACATCAGCAGCTTTCGAATTCCTTGGAATATTTCATACCTTTTTGGTTTCTTTGGGTTGAAGAGGAACATATGCGGCCAGTTCTCGAAGGTATTGCCCCTCTTTGGGGTACCCTAAACAAGAGGGGCCGCCTTATAACAAGCACCCCAAAAGGAACCACAGCCTAGAGAGCTGACCATGTAGGAAAAACTTAGAGGCTTTAAAGGGCCAACCTAGTCATATCAGCTCCAGGAACCTTTGGATTTAGGGTCTAGGGTTTAGGTTTTTTGGGTTTAGGTTTAGGGTTCTTTGTGTGTCCACGTTCCGCAGTTTGGGGTGTGACTAGGGGTTTAAGGGCATTCGCTTACGTACGGGGAGCTCACTCAGTCTTGTTGCTTGCAGCTTCCCATGATGGAACCCAACCCTATAAACCCTAAACCCTAAACCCTAAACCTTCCCCAAAAGAGGGTGCCCTCATTATAATATGGCTCCTAGGCTACCAAATAAAACGTCTGGGCCCAAGCCCTGAACCCTAAACCCTAAACCCTAAACCCTAAACCCTATACCCTAAACCCTAAACCCTAAACCCTAAACCCGCCTTCCTTAGCCACTCCCAAGCCCCAAATTCTAAGGCCTCAAAGCCCTGCACTTAAGCCCTTAATCTCAACCTTCCTTCTAAACAAGCATCAACAACAGGGTTTAGGTGTAGGGTTTAGGTGTAGGGTTTGGGGTTCAGGGTTTAGGGTTTAGGGTTTTGTGTGTAGGGTTTAGGGTTTAGGGTTTAGGGTTTAGGGTGTAGGGTTTAGGGTTTAGGGTCTAGGGTTTAGGGTTTAGGGTTTAGGGTTCTGCAGAGCAGGCGCGGCTCTTGGCCACGGCGCGCGCCGAGGCGCTGAACCAGCAGGGCCTGAGCAGCGAGGCGCCGGGCTTTCGGGTGAAAGGGTTGTAGGGTTTAGGGGTAATTTAGGGTTTAGGGTTTAGGGTTTAGGGTTTAGGGTTTAGGGTTTAGGTTTACAGGAACCTGAGGACGAGACAAGCGCTACCTTGCTGTAAGGTATATCGGAACTCTTATCAGGTGTGGGTGCGTAAAGTTGGGGCCCCTTTTCCAAAATATTACATACGGAGCCTTCTCTGTCACTCTCTCTCGCTCTCTCTCTCTTTCTCTCTCTCTCTCTCTCTGTCTCTGTAAAGGAAAATGAGAAAAATGTATACAGAGAGAGAGAGAGAGAGAGATTGAGAGAGAGAGAGAGAGAGAAAGAGAAAGAGAGAGAGCAGGGTACCCCAAAAGGAATCTCCTGCTGATGTCAGACGAGATGCCACAGCCTCTCCCCACAAGGTTTAGGGCTTTCGGGCTCGCTTGAGATCCTGAAGATGAAGTAATGGTATATCCCTGAATTGAGGGTTCTGGGGCTCCCTGCGTAGCTGCCAAGGCTCTGCAATCCAGCGTGTCATGTCATCATCCTCCAGCCAGCCCTCAACCCTAAACCCTAAACCCTCTAAACCCTAGGCCGAAACCCCCAGTTAGACCTTGACCACCGAACCCCCCCCCCCCTCTTCTACAAGGGTTTCAAGGTTTTGGGGGCTTGGTCCAAAACTCTGAAGCTGAACCTAGACGAAGAAGGGTGTAGGGTTTGGGCTTAGTAGCTGAATGACTACATTTTACACTTTTTGGGATACTATATTCCGCTATAGAACTGAAAGTGTACACTTTTTTGTGGACTTATGAACTCAGCAACTAAGCAGGGCTTGGGGTTTCTCCCCGTCCAGGACGTGGATGAAGTCTTTGGCCTCGAAAAGAGCCTTGTCTTTGAACTCGGATGATATAAGGGTCGGAACTTTTGCTGATATTGTTCCCTTACGGTCCCTTTATCATTAGAATACTCCCCAAAACCCTATTCTAGTTTATTAAGGCCCCTATAGTAGTGACGCTGAATGATGCCTTCAGAGGCCAACCTCATGCAAAGCATTTTGGGGTGCGGGAAGTTGTGAAATGAGGTCTTCACGGATCACAGCTGGGATGGGGGTGAAATGACCGCAGCGTCATTCTGCATGGGTCGGGTTTGTGCTCAGGGTTCTGGAGCCCTGGTGGTTTCTTAGCTTACTTTTCCCGGGCGTACGGCGGAATTTCTGAGGTTAGGCACCCCAAGTCCGTAAAACCCTAAACCCTAAACCCTAAACCCTAAACCCTAAACCCTAAACCCCAAACCCTAAACCCCAAACCCTAAAACCCTAAAACCCTAAACCTTTTGGGTCTGTGGAGGAGCCGATAGTTGGGGTTTTATGGCTTAGGGTTTCAGGTTAAAGGGATGAAGGGACCTTATCCTGCAAGAGCCCTGAAGCACTAAGCGGTTTGGAGACTAGGGCCGGGGACCGCACCCTCAACACAGAAACCTGTTGTTTTTGGGGTTTGAGGGTTTAAGGTTTAGGGTTTAGGGTTTAGGGTTTCGGGTTTAGTGTGTAGGGTTTGTTGGGGTCCGGGGGTTTGGGGTTATCCTGATTCGTATGACCTCAGCACGGCTGAAGCATTGGGCTCAGTACGATTAGGGTTTGTGAGCTGCTTGGAGGGTCGGGGGGCTTAGTAAGTACTTGCTATGCAGATGGCTAAGCAGGATGACCCCCCACTGGGGTCCCTGTCACAATACGGCTTTCCTGACGAGCTCATGGACCGCCTGAAGCCAGTGTGAAGTCCCAGAGACATCGGCCACATGCTTGGGAACGGAATGAGCCTGAACGTCTTCGAGCGCGTCTTGACACGGGTGCTTTTCGCAGCGGGCCTGGAGAATGATCCCCTCCCTTATTCCTGGAAGCCCACGGTGCCTCGTCTTCCGGCTGCGAGAAGGCACTGCACGCCAACATGGCTGTGGGATGACAACGTCATGAGCATGTTGATCAGTAACTCTACTTTGTAAACCCTAAACCCTGAGCCCTGAAACCAAAACCCTGAGCCTGCACTAAGCCTGCCGATCATCCGCCCTGCCCCCTAAGCCCTAAACCCTAAACCCTAAACCTTACGCCCTGCGTAGGGTTTAGAGGTGAGGATCCGCGCCCCCGCAACCCCAAACCCTAAATCCTAGAGCCTGCTTTGGGATTTACGGTTTAGGGTTTAGGTTTTCGGGTTCAGGCTAAATCCCCGAAACCCTTAACCCTGAACCCTTAACTTTTAAACCCTAAACCCTTGAACCCAAAACCCTACACCGCGTGTTGCCAGGAATACCCCGCATCTGCTGAACATGAGCAGCTTGGTCCTGCAAGAAGGCTCTCAAGGTTTGGGGCGTAGGACTTTGGGACCTTAAGGCCCTAAACCCTAAACCCTAAACCCTAAACCCTAAACCCTAAACCCTAAACTTTTGCAACCCCGAAGCCCTCAAACCCTAAACGCTTGATCTTTTTTTCTCCGTCCTGAGGCGACGATCCCGTCCTCTCCGGCTGCTTGGTCTACTTCCTCCCAAAGGCCATTGGTCGTCTTAGGGGTTTAGGGTTTAGGGCTTGGGGTTTAGGGTTCAGGGTTTAGGGTTTAGGATTTAGGGTTTAGGGTTCAGGGTTTGGGGTTTAGGGTGCAGGGCTTAGGGTTCAGGGTTTAGGGTTCAGGATTTAGGGTGGCCATTTGTGGGTTCCTGCTGATTATGGTATTTCGGGGTACACAAGGGCACTCGCCTCAGGAATCATGTCTTAATTTCGTTTCTATAATTTCATTGGAAATATGTCAATATTGATGCTTTGGGTTTCACAGGGAGTATAGAGCAGCACATATGTCGGGGGGGGGGGGGGGGGGGGGGGGTGTTCTGAGTATCTAGTAATCTTACTAGTTCGGAGTACGTAGGGATTTCGGGAATGAGCTTCCTTTATCCCAGCGTTCGCTGATTTCCTTCTACGAGCTGCTACAGAAATCTTGGGGCACTGGGCGTTTCATCAAGAAGGCCTCTTTTGCCTGTTCGTTTAAGATCTTCTTGGAGGCTAGCGGGACTTGGTACGTACGGGTACGCAACAAACCCTAAACCCTAAACCCTAAACCCTAAACCCTAAACCCTAAACCCTAAACCCTAAACCCTAAACCCTGGGAGGGCAACACGACAAACCGTCAGTGGAACACATGGGCTTTCTCAGGGAGCCCACGGGAGCAAAGCGCTTCCACCTCGGAGGTCCAGGCGAGGGTTTAGGGTTTAGGGTTTGGGGTTTGGGGTTTGGGGTTTAGGGTTCCGGATTATGACAAGTTTTGTCAGAGGCAATATTCATTCTGCTCCACAGGTCGGATGCCTGGGACAGGCCAGACATCATGGACTGCGTAGATGGCCGAGCTGATGTCACGGAAGACGTCTGGAATAAGACAACCCCAATAATTCGTCTTCCCATGAGGGTGCTTATCAGTCGACTGTGTTTTTTCAATCATGGTTTGATGCTGTATTGCTTTTCTGTTCGGGTGTAGGGTTCAGGGTTCAGGTTTCCGGGTTCAGGGTTTAGGGTGTAGGCTTTAGGGTTCAGGTTTTAGGGTTTAGGGCTTAGGGTTTTGGGATTCTTCGGTCAAGTTGTGTGGTCACCCACCACCCCAAACCCTAAACCCTAAAACCCTAAAACCCTACCCTTAAACCCTAAACCGCCCCACCCCCCCTCCCTCCTCTCTCCCAAGAAGATCCCCGTAACCTAAGGCCACTAAGGGTCCCTAAACCCTAAACCCTAAACCCTAAACCCTAAAC